CATAATTCTTTTAAATCCATTGACACACCCACTGTATGGTACCATATCATAATTCTTAAATCAATTGACACACCCACTGTATGTGCCATATCATAATTCTTAAATCTTATTGACACACCCACTATATGTGCCATATCATAATTCTTAAATCCATTGACACACCCACTGTATGTGCCATATCATAATTCTTAAATCCACTGATACACCCACATAGTTCTATGGTTATATAAAGCAAATTCAGAAAAGGCATATTGCAGAATAAAAAGAAGTCGAAGAAGAGTATTATCATCATTTTTTTTCTCAAAAACAATCTCCCTAGATGTGCTAGCGTTGATTGTCATGTTAGAAATGGCATACTGGAATGAATAGTTATGAATATAATTGTAATTAAATACAATGGCGTTTTGGGCGATTAGCCCGAACTAAGCATTCACGCACACTTCATTATCCAGTGCTAAAGACCAGGTCTTTAAAAACAGGTCAGATTAAACTCATTCTTAGCCTGTGTTAAGCACGTAATGATAATGTCTTTGATCTCTTAGCCCATGCTAAGAAGCTATGTGTGAACACAAATTGTATGTCCGTAATCCATCGACACAACTACTATATGTGCAATTCCAATATGTCCTTAATCCATCATCTCATCTGCTTAATGTACCATCAACATACACCATCCAGTCTCATAGAAGCCACATTGATAGTTATCAGATTTAGGATTTAAACTTTTAAACACTAGTAAAGTGATGTCAACTTTCCCAATATTTTTACCGATAGTAATTATGTCGATCTAATCCAAAATTAATAATGAAAATAATAAAAAGCCGCAAAATAATATGTTATGGCATGCAAAGAGTTAATCTTTTCTGTGCATAATTTTATATATTGGATCGTAGAATTCTGCTAGAATCCCCATCAGAGCGAAATCTGCTAAAGTCAATGATTGTAATTCATTATTTTCATTACTCATACATAGCATTATTTGTAATTGAGTAAAGGTTAATGTAACTGGAGGGTAACCAGTGAGATTAAATAAAATATATACAGAATTTTCAGCTAATTGTTTGAAAATTTTCAGATTAGCCCTTTCAACCAACCAACAGTCAATATATGGTAACCAAGTGAGTGCCCTCTATAGGTAGGAATGTGTAGATCATTTCACCTACTTTCTGTTCATTATGGTCTGCTTGGATTCACTTGGGTTTACTTTCTGTTGTGGTGATCACATTTGGCACAGTGCCATATAATGGATTGAATAGATGCATGCCTTGGCCTTGGAAATATATAGAATATGGAAATGAAATTTCAATTCAATAAATCCTGTCAATCTGGTTTGAGAAATAATTGTCATTGAGTTGGTCTTGATTATAATTATTTGAATGTACATGATAATTTTATATCTTTAACAATAAAAATTAGGTTGATGCAAATTAATTTTCAATTATGTCTCTTTAGAGGGGGTACCAACTAATAACTAACAAATGACTTAAAATCTGAATTAAGGGTTTATAAGCAAAATAGCTTTCCATGTACTTGACATACTTAATATACTTAATTTAAGTCTGAGATGTTATAGAACTAAATTTAATTGATAACAGAGACATTGATTTCAGAAAGGTAGACCCAAGCACGTTCTCCAAATCTAATTATCATGTTACCTCTTTTCTTATGGCACTAATAATACAGCCAATTGAATGTATTTCCTCGGTAAACTTAAAAGTGAGTGATTCACCAGATTGTTGTGCGGGACTAGATAATTGAGTTAAGTTTATAATTGGATTGTTGGCACAGTGATTAAGAACCATCGGTGGAAGTTCTTATTCAGGTCAGCGCCAATGTTTGTGAATATGTGTTATGCTGTTGAGTTTCTGTGCAGTACCATAGCCTTTGTGATATTCATTACTGTCTAATTCCATGTAGGTATGCATGTTGGTGAAATATTGCCACTGTGTCTAGTTATCAAATTTTGCCCTTATTAAATTTCTTAAAGGTTTACAAACTTTCCAGTTCAGTGTTGTCCTCAAATCTATATGCCATACATAGCAAACCCCCCTCCCCATGCACCCCCCCCCCTATACGTAGCCCCCCTTCCTGAATTACCTTGCTTAAAATCAGTTCGTTACACAACATCAAGCTGACTATTTATAGTTCAGTGGTTAATCCACTTTTCAGTTTGTGACATTCAAAGTATGTTTTTTTAGCTCCACTGTCAACTTTGTCGAGCTGAGCTTATCATATGAGTGATTGTCTGTCGTCTTCCGTTCATTTCAGTTGTTCATTTCGCGATGATATCTTTAATTCTCTAATTTTAATGAATATTTTTGTCTTTTTTGGTAAAAGGTGATATTTTCAAATTTTTGTTGAAAACAGCAAGTCTGATTGCTTTGATACTATACATATTGTTCATTATCTAATGATATCTTCTGTTCTTTAATTAAAATGAGCATTGCTAACAGCGGAGCTATCTCAGCCGAGACAGACACTGCTTGTTTTTATTTCTTGCATAAATTATTTTGATATATATCACCAAGGCTACTGAAGGTGATTTTAGCTAGGCTGTACCAGCAAATTTTTTCACCAAACTTCATACATGTATTCCTTATATGTAGTCCTCAAATAACCCATTATCTTAATTTTAACTAGTTCCCAGTTTATAGTCTGCACTTTCCTTCAGAAGTTTGGGACAAAAAATAGCTAAATTTTTTGAGTAAAAACTGAAAATTGACTCAAATTTTGTTTGTTGGCTCCAAAATTAGGGTTCATTTCCACAAATATCGAAGAATATAAGAAAAATATTGCAGACAAATTTGGGCGGGAAAGTCTGATGGTAAAAAGGTTAATAATTGTGATTTTGTTTGGTAAAGTATGGGCAAGCACACAAGTATACAACTGAAAGTTTTTTCACTTTTTGTGATTACATTTCCTGTAATAATGTAATAACAATATTAGACTCTACAGTCAATGTAATTTGCAATTCTGTTTCATCTTTTCTTGTATAGAATGTCGGAGCACCACGTGGTTGGCCAACACTTTTCAAAGAACCAGACAAGTTTCTAGGATTGATGCCGATTGCGTCATCGCCGTGCGATAGTAACCTATCCTCTAGTGTGATGATCACACCGACGTCAAGTCCAACTAAGCAACTGAACGAAACAGACAACAAGAATACCAAGGAAAGTGATAGAAAACTTGAAGATGATGAACAGTGTGAGGGTTACTACAATGAGGAAGATGATGAAGAAGAAATCTTTCATCTTGATAGTGAAGATCTTGACCTAGAATCGATTGAACGCCATTAATCTGTGCTTGCTTCATACCAGTTGGAAAAAAAAACTACCCATCATACATTCCTTGTCTAGTATTGTTGCATTGTTTCTTTTGTTTTTTAAATGTTGGATCAAAGTTTGTCAGTTTCTATCACAACTTTGAGATTTTGAAGTACAGAAAATCATTATTTTTCCCATCTACGTATATTTACGATAATTAGTCTTCAGGAACTGGGACAGTCCAAGAAGATAGACTTCTTTGAATGTATAAATACTGCCTTCCATCAAAATACCATTCAACCTGACTGATGAATTACAAATAGGTCCAATATTTTGGCGGAAGCGTAGTGAACATGTTTAACATATCAGCGTACTGCGGCATGGATTCACATTTCTTGTATTTACTTCTGCAAATGCTTGGAAAAAGTCAAAACCTGAGAGAAGTTTAAAATGTTCAATGAGAGCCTGGTGAAATCCATATCTGAGTGCCTCAACAAAATTGGTTAAAAATTTCAAAGTCGTGATTTTACAGAAATGAAGATGTTTGTATACGAAGGAATTTTTAGAAAGTTGTACAGTTTTTGGTTTCAGGTCCGTTTGTAGGATGTTAATATCAAACTAATGAACTAATTAAATAATTACAGTTAAATTAAAAAAAAAAAAAAATGTGATTAAATTTAAGAGGCATTCCATTGTATTACCAGAACTTAACCAGAAAAAATATTTACATGTTTCCTTGGGAAACTTAACAATAGTTCTTATATCTCTAGTTAGAGAGTCGTGCAAGAGTTGAGTATACAAGTGTGTGAGTATGAGTGTGGCAGAGTTTATTTAGATCAGTTAAATAGAGCAATAGAATTGACGGGGAGGGGGAGGGGTTGATTTCTGTTTCAAAGCAAAGGCGGCTTTGTAATATGTAAATTATATATTTGTATTTAAAGTTGCATTCATACTGTAGAAAACTTTCCGCTGACCTCTTTAAGCATTATAAGGGTTTTGGGATTCTGTACGGTTTAAGTGAAATCTTATCTAATATAATCCTCAATCAAATTTCTCTTACAAAAAAAGTGGCTTTGAGTGATTGCATCGTTAAGAATTATATTAGATTTAGTGATTAGACACCATGGCCATCAGTGCTGGCTAGCTGAGTACTCCAATATTTCAAGATTTGTTACCATAGCAACTGATTTTATCATTTTTCATGGTGGGAGCTGTTCTCTCTATGATACAAACTGGGAATGCAACTTTGGAATGCAATCAAGGTCTCTTAGTGTATTGCTGGTTGTCTTATAATCAATGACATCATTTCACAGGAACATAATTTGCATATTATTATGATGATGATATCTTGCTTTGCTTTCTTTCTTTATTGTATGAAGTATGCAAGGAACTGGGAAAATTTCTTGACATCCCTACCCCTTCCCAACCAAAATGTAAGTTCTTTTAAAATGATATATTACTTTTTTGAACAAGTTCAATGACATTCAGTTTGCAGCCAGTTTACCTCAGTGAGGGTATTTGTATTTAAGAATCCTGTATGTGCATGTATCCAATCAATAAGAAATTAGACCTGAGTGTTTTACCATAAAATGTTGTCATCAAACGACTGATCAGGAGGTCGCTTAGGAGTCATAGATGATTATGCACATATTGAACTGTGATTTAAATTCACTATTTCGATCATATTCACTGGGTTTTGGATTTGCCGATGAAACAATGAGTTGTAATTTTAAATTGTTAGAGTCTGGATTTAATTTAGCAGATTTTTCTTATGAGAGAGATTCAAACCCAGTGAATAATTAATGCATTTATAGTTAAAAAAAAAAATGTGAATGAAAGACACTTTGCACATTGTAGATACACTGTAAGCTGTTAAAATCGATAATTTGCCAGGGACGACATTTTCACCTAAATCTGTCTTGCGGAAACTGAAGCAGGTTACAGAGATGAATTTAATCATGTCCCTGCTTCTATCGACCTAAAATGAGATTTTTGGCCATGAAAAATAAAATTATATCTGGCACATTTGACAGTTCTGTGTTGAAATTGAAATTTGATTTTCACATTGAAGTGTAATTAAAAAAAACAAAAAAACAGAATATATTAGCAAAGCCCACCATTTCTTTATTGGTGCACACAAAGTTTAGAATGGTGCTTTTTATATTGTTATTGTTATCATACTGAAATTCACAAGTTTTTTCAGGTTTCATTAGTTTAAACAACCATTTGGAAACAGGGAAGGCTTCCTTGGATGTTTAGTTATAGTTTGCATGATGTTGAATTGTGTATAAATTTTTCTTGTTTTGTGCGCCCGTGTGCAATTGCTAATACAAAGTACTGAGGCAGTTGTCGGTCATGTTGATGGTTTAGAGAACATATCTCGACTTTCTATAAAAATAGATTTTAATGAGCTTATTAATTAAATTATATGACAAAAAAAAAAAGTTCATGTTAATGTTTTTCTTGTTATTTCAGTACACGTACGCCTTTTTACCTGTAAAGTTAAGAAAGTATTACCAGTCAATCAACCTAATATTTGTTAAGTCGTTGTCTCTGTGTACTATTATAACAAGTACAATGTAAGCAAATATTGTAGGCATACACTAAGACGCAGAAATTAATTTACTGTAAGGGCTCTCTCTGTCTGAACATGGGAGCAAGTAAATAAACTGAATGTTTACCTGGTCTTGAGTTCATCTGCTATGGATGGAGTTTTCAGGAAAACTAAAGTAAAGTTGTAACTTTATTTTTTATTTAGAAAAAGATATTGTAGTAGAGAATTCACTGTTATTAGTTGAATACCACTCAGCCGCAATATTCATTGTGTAAACACATGACCTGGTTGTATCCACAGTAAGAAATATGTCAATTTTATTGTAACAAATTCTTTCCTTTATATCAAATGTTTCATTTATCTCTCTCGTTCTTACTGTAGTGCTTTGCACAATCTACATATCTTACGCAGCTAGCAGAAATTAAAGACTGCAACCTAAATTTGGTTGTATATATTACTAGTGATTCACAGGTAAAAAATAATGCCTTCTGTTGACAACCTTTGGTGACATAGCTTGTCAGTCAGCTGTTTAATACATTGGTGATCAGAGATGAGATTTACGGTCATGTGACTGTCACATGATGGTCACATGTCATATTATAATTGCTGCAAGACCAGCAGTAAAACTGCTAATTGCATGACTGTTTCTAACAGGGATGTTTCAATTTGAATGCTGCAAGTGTGTTGGTAGCCATGCACGTCAATAACGATGCAATTCTTTCTACAGAGTAGTAAACCCTCTAAAATTGGTAGAAAGGTTGGAGGAAACATACAACACACCAATACAGTTTCATTTTATGGCGGATATCTTGCAGTTTATTTGATGGTTATTTTCAATTATTTCCTTATTTGACAATCCTACTGACTGGTTTTACAAAAACAAATTACCTAACAATGACCTACATAGCAAGAATAGGACCCAGACAGTCGAAAAATTGCGCCAACTTGCTCCTCGTCATATTTCTCACTTAGAGTTACTTTCAATCTCAAAGATCTTTGCCTTGTATTAGGTTGGCAATTTACGCACATCTAAAAAGAAATTCAAACCTCCATGTGATGTAACGTTTTTCTTTTTTTAAAAAAAAAGATTAATTTTAAAATAATTTGTACACTTATATGATTTGTAAATTTTCTTCGTGTATCAGTATTTTTTTTTTTTGTAATGCAAACTTTATATTGATATATTCACCATGTTGTGTATTCCTTTTGTTCTCTTTAATGAAAGAAGTGACTGGAGCTATACTTGTATTCCGTGTGAATAATAAACCTGCAAAGCACTCTTTACTTTTATACCTTGCATTAGGATTTATTTATTAACGGGCAGTGGTTGTCACAAGCCATCTGCGTTCAAATTTTGTATGAATAGTGTTCTCACCAGGAAATAAACATATGGAGCAATAATGTTCCATCAGTTTAGATAGTACAAGACGAGTGTCCTCAAATCTACGTTCTGCATTTGTAAATTGTCATATTTTTGCGAAAGTTAAAAAAAAAAAAAAAAAAAAAACATGGGGGGGGGGGGGATATAAACAAATGTTTTGTGTCTGGTGAGAAGACGTTTACCCATATGTAAATACGTTGCTATCTGTAGTATGGAACAGTCACGACAACCACCATACTTCAAGCATATAAAATTAGACCATTAATCATTAAGTTTTTACAGTGGGATGCCATACCTTCTAAGAGCCTCCACAGACATACTAAAATTAATGAGAAAAAACAAACGAGCAGCATCTCAGCCGCGAGATAGATCTGCTGTTAGCAATGCACATTTCAATTAAATACCGGTAATTGAACATATCACAAAATCAAGAAAAATTAGAGGTCCACCTGTAGTATCTACATGTATAATATCAAAGCAATCAGACTTGCCGTTTTTATCAAAATTAGAGAATTAAAGATATTATCATGAAATTAAACAAATTTAAGTGAGGTCTACCCATACATATATATCAAGTATCAAAGCAATCTGGCTTGTAGTTTTCAAGAAATAGCTTTACTGCCCTACAAGAACATTGTAGTAGCCAAGTCATGCAATGCACACCCACAAATTGGTCACACAAATATTTGGTAGTGTACAAGAATTTGAAAATATAATTTTTTTTTAACAAAAATAGAGATTAAATGAACAAATCTGATAAGAGGTTCACCCAACAGCAACATATCAAAGCAATTGAGCTGGGAGTTTTCAAGAAGTCGGAAATGAAATTGTTGACGGACGAACAATCACCTGTATGAACAGTTCCGCCCTGTCAACTACGATGACAGCAGAGGTGAAAAGTTGATGACAGTGACGGACAATCTCCCATATGATAAGCTCTGCTCGACAAAGTTGAATGATGTAGTCTGAAAGTATGATGTGAAAACAATAACAATCTACAACATTAAATTATGCATTACATTAAGTTGTAGACAATATTTTCTTGGGTATCCATGCATTTCACCACAAAAAGAGACTCCTCTTGTGCAGATCTTGGAAACAAAAGGGATTTAAATAGAGAAGAAATTACTAATTTTGTTAATAAATCTTCCAAAATAAAAATGAACAATGCCAATATTTAAATAATTAGTTTCATAGCAACCAATTTGAATGAAATCTACAAACTTGCATCTAATCTATAATATGTAGCTAATACCACATCACTCGGTCTGCAAGAGCAGGTATTATCATGAAATTAACTTACAAAGCAGAAAATTT